CACCACGTCAGTGTTACTGCAGTGCTGAGAATGACCCACCACCCAAATAGTACCTGCTCTGTGAGGGTCCATGGGGGTCCTGACCACTGAAGAACAGGGTAAAAGGGGGCTAACAAAGTATCAGAGAAACAGATGGACTACAGTCTGTAACTGTAGAACTACAAAGTGCACCTATATAGTAAGTGGAGCTGATAATATATATATGTATATCGCTGCTGTCAGAACAAAACCTTGCATCTCCCTTTTTGTCGTTTTTCAATTTTTCACATAATTTGAAAATGCCTGTTAGCTTTTGCATTGTGTGTAAATTCCGCAATTAATGGACCAATAGAAATGACTGAAAACAACAAAAAGTCTGGTTCCATTGACTTATATTAAAAGTAAAGTATGTTTTTTCCTTCTCCTGTAAAGTTACCATTTTGGAGATACAAGGTTTTGTTCCGACAGCAGCGATATACTTACTGTTCTGTTGTGCTGTCTAGTGTTTATGTTCTTGCGTCTTTACTGTTCTGTATATTTATTGTCTGTGTATTTATCATATATTCTGCACTCGTTTCATGTATCTGCACTCTGTATAGTTCTGTGTAATGTGCTGCTGGTGTCTGTTTGGGGCCTGAAGAACAACATTTCACTCCAACTCTATCTAAGTTATGTTGAGGACTGACAAAGACCACTGGACTTTAACTTTGACAGCCCTGAGCATAATAAAACAAAAAGAATAAATCTTAAATATAAAAAGCACATCATTAGAGTTTTGTCTTTTACCTGTCTACTCTGACTACTGACATATATATCCTGTTATATAGCAGCCCAGGCCTGGAGCAGAGCGTCACACCTCCTGTGCAGCAGTCCTTTCTAGTGTCAATGTCTCAATAAAGCCTTGGCACTTGGACAGTTTTTTATTCAAATATGCATGATTTTTGACTGCCTGATCACCCAACATCGGTTTAACAAGCACAGACGTAGCAGTTAAAGGAGAGGAAGAAAGTGGTTTGACAAGATTTCTTCTCCATTTGTGCTACATATAAAACATGCAAGCTGTTTAACATAATGGTGAATCTGTTCTGTTCTCCAATTTAATACTACTTTCTAACTGAGCCTGGTCTCTCCATTATTTCACTTGCATCAAAGATTTGACAGTAGCTGTAACAAGTTTAGTCAGCTGAGACAATTTGCTGGTTTCTCTGCGTATTTCACTGGCCAGACAAAAGGCTATCCGAGACGTACAGTGTTGCTCTGTAATTAAGTCATACATTAAACCTACCATCTAGTCACCTATCCTAATGACCCATCCAGCGCAATCATGTTCCAAAGCCGAAAGGGTGGAGAATCTGAAGGGCTGACGGTGTCCAACAGTATCAGCAGCTCCCCAGATCTTTGACAGACTACAGCACTGATTAGTGGCTCATCTTACTAATGAGAGAGTTAATTTTCTCATTAATAAGCTGAGTGACAAGAACTATATTGGCTTCAAACATGCAGCATATGCCTTTTTTTTATTCCAACTTTAACTTTCAGCTTCCTTTCATGTCTTAAATATGACTCAAACACTTACAAAACAGCAGTTACAACAGAAGCCAACTATGGCTCAATCCCATTTCTTACTTCTACCCCTTCCCTCTTGTTTTCTAGTGTCTTCTTGCCCCTTTTGAACTAAGTTAGAAGAGGTAGTGGCTGAAATCTTCCCTCTGAAATGAGACCCTCTAATAAAAAGAGCATCACTTCATTAACAGCTACCAGCGCTGCTCTGTAGGTGACCCTGCCAGTCTGCAGTGACAGCAGAGGAGGGTAAAGTTCAGCTCCACACTGCTGGGCTTTAGTTACATTTAGGGCATCATATGACTTCAAAGAGGGGGACAATTATTTATTATCACCCACCCCTAATTCTTCAGTGATATGAAGCTGATGTCAGATATTCACCAGCTTCTTGTTCGAATTTTCCCGTTCCACCTTAAATGGTGCAGCAGTTCTGATGCCGGAGGCGCCAGAATGTAACTGCTGCACCATTTAAGCAACAGGAAATCTAGAACTAGCTACTGACACAGCACACTATTATTTCTTATGCTTGTTAAGAAGAAAAGGACCATAATACACTAAAACGACATCAAACTAAGACAATACAGTGATTATCATAATTTACAACTGAGAAAATTCTCACATTTGTGGGTTTCTTTGGTCTCTTGTTCAGCCATCCTGCTGGCTTTTCTTTTTCTCATAACTCTCTGTTTAGAGTGTCTGAAAAACCTCCGTTTGGAGGGTCATGTAGCCCCAACACTTCGCCCTACCCCTCTATCTCCACAAGAATCAGGACACCCTACCCCTAGACGTGAACGCGCAAAACAGAGGGGTAGGGCTAAGTGGTAGGGGCGAGGGGTGAAATGGGATTGAGCCAATATCATGAACGGTAACACGTTATACACTGAAACAAATGGGCTACAGTCTGTAACTGCAGAACTACAAAGTGCTCCTATAAGGTAAGTGGAGCTGATAAAATGGAAAACAAGTGCAGATACAAGGTAGGTGGCCATCAGATGTATAAGCAACCATACAACTATACAACTGTATAAGTTACCACACTGTATAAATATGACTATCCATAAAGCTGCACAACTGTGACACATGGCAAATAAACACTTACCGTGTCAGAATTGTTCACAGTGGTGGTGATAGGAACCAGACGTCCACCTCTAAAAGCTCCCTCACAGAACGTTACTACATTAAATGGTAATGAATTCACTGCCGCCTGATGTCTGAGACACTGTTTTATAATAGTTTTAAGAAGATTTTGGCCTTAAAATTTTAAGATACAGAGTAAAGAAAACCTATTTTTTCAGGTTTATCACTATTTTCCATCATTAACATTCCATATACTCAAGATGTGTAGGTGGTTTTGAATAGTAAATAAAATGGCCATATTTGTGTTGTCACGGCAACCCCTGGTTCCCATCACCACCACTGTAAAGGCATCTGAGTCTCTACAATCAACTATTTCACACCAAACCACTCTGAGTCTCTCTGTTTACATCTCACACACTGAATTATACAGAAATTTAGAAAACAATTCCCCTTTAAGCCTGAAAAAGAACTTCCATTGGTGATTCACCACTGGCACTGCTATAGTCCAGTACTATGCACTTTAAAGCTGGTTCTCCAAACATTCTTTAGTAATGGCAGTGGTTCTATTTAGAATCATGAGTTCTATGTGGAACCATTTCATGCTTACATGGTTCTTTGCATGGTAAGATGATTCTTCAGACTGACTGAGTGTGTTGTATATGGTTCTATGTACAACCACTTTGAAAATTGTTCTATACAGAACCTAAAAGTGTTCTGCTATTTTTACGGTGTCAAGCTTGTATACAGTAGAAGAACGTTTTTTGGTGTCATATAGAACCTTTTACTAGTGGTGGGCAATATGGCAAAACTATAATATCACGATATGTCATGAAATTTACATTTTCTGACGCGTGACAAGTTAGAAAAGACAAAAAAAGAAACTAGTAGTGTCAGATTAAAAAAATACTTTATCAGTGCCGTAGACATAAATTATTTTTCCTTAGTGTTTCACACTGCGCTGCTCTAAACCCAATTAAAAAAGATTAATTATGATCTGTTTGTAATGCATCAAGTTGTTCAGTGTTCTCCAAGTTCTGATGATACCAAAAATATGCTCAAAAAAAACATACTGTGATGCAATTTATCTCTGTGATGATAAATATTGTTGTATTGCCCAGCTCTGCCACATAAAAGGGGGGCAGTCATGGGCTGGAGATTAGGGAACCAGCATTATGACCGGAAGGTCGCCGGTTCGATCCCCTGAGACGACAGTACGTGACTGAGGTGCCCTTGAGCAAGGCACCTAACCCCCAACTGCTCCCCAGGCGCTGTGGATAGGGCTGTGTGCTCACTGCCCCCTAGTGTGTGTAGTCATTAGTGCGTATGTGGTGTTTCACTGCATGGATGGGTTAAAATGCAGAGGTGAAAGTTCCCTGTTGTGGGACTAATAAGGGTCACTTAAGTTTAAAAGAAAAAACTCATTCTCCATCAATCTGAAGAACCATTTCAGCATGCAAAGAACCATTTAAGCATGAAGTGATTCTATATATAACTCATGGTTCTAAACAGAACTAGTCCCTTTACTAAAGAACCCTTAAAGAAACATCTTTTTGAGTATGTAAACTTAAAGGGGTATTTCAGCAATTTTTCAACATTTTCAAATAATTCAGTCCTTGTTCAGGATTGGTGTGAAATGGTTGATTGTACAGACTCAGGTTTCTTTACAGTGGTGGTGATAGGAACCAGGGGTCACCATGACTACAACACAGATATAGACATTTCATTTACTATCCAGAACCACCAGTGAACCTACACGAGTCTTCTGAGTTTATATGGAATGAAGATGATGGGAAAATAGTGGAAAATCTGAACAAATGACTTGGGGACTATTTTGCCTCACGACAACTTATATGTACTACCTCCACCATGAACGGATTAAAATACATTTTAACCCAAAACTTTACAACAAAACTATCGTAAAACAGTGTCTCAGTCATCAGGCAGTGAATTCATAACCATTTCATGTAGTAACTTTCTGTGAGGGAGCTTTTAGAGGTGGACGTCTGGTTCCTATCACCACCACTGTGAACAATTCTGATTCTGTAAGTTTCTCTAGAACAGAGCGTTTCACACCAAACCACTCTGAATGACTCTGTTTACATCTTACCCGATTAAATATGTATATTTTTTTGAAAAATCGCTGGGGGTTCCCTTTAATCGATGACCCTAATAGTGGTACAACCTAGTGCATGGCTGATATGTACGGATGGTAAAACTGTAAGACAGTGACAGCGCATGTTTTACATTAAAACAGCAGGACTCTGTTTGTGAATGCAGTCTGGATTCAGTAAAAACTGAGAGAAGCCTAAAGTAAAGCTGTAAAGCCTCTCCGGCGTTTCTGCAGCTGAGCTAACGGCTAACGGCTAACGGCTAACAGCACTCACCAGTCCACCGCGGTTTTGTTCTGTAGGTTGACGGTGCCGGTCAGTGTCCGAGCGGCCAGTTTAATGTTGACAGTGTAGGGAATCATGTCCGCTCTGTCCAGCTGTGAGCAGCTGCATGAAAAGTTGAAAAATTTGGTCAAAAATGAATGACGGTCGGCTAGCTTTGTAAACAGGAAGTCACGTGCGTCACCGCCGCGTTCCGACAGGGGAACGAAGTCTCGCGAACAAGGTTCCGCTCTATACGACGACGTTTCAGGGCCGCTATAGATGAAAATAAAAACAGTAGACTTCGAGAATAAAGTCGATATTTCGAGAAAAAAGTCGTAATATTTCGAGAAAAAAGTCGTAATATTTCGAGACAAAAGTCGCACTATTTTGAGAAAAAAGTCGTAATATTTCGAGAAAAAAAGTCGTAATATTTTGAGAAAAAAGTCGTACTATTTTGAGTAAAAAGTCGTAATATTTCGAGAAAAAAGTCGTACTATTTTGAGTAAAAAGTCGTAATATTTCGAGAAAAAAAAGTCGTAATATTTTGAGAAAAAAGTCGTACTATTTTGAGAAAAAAGTCGTACTATTTTGAGAAAAAAGTTGTAATATTTCGAGAATAAAGTCATAATAGTGAGAGTTTTTCGTTTTTGTGCTATAGCAACAGAACTGTCTGCTGTTTATCTCCTCTAACAGTGTGCATGTTTAAACATCATCATCATCCTGTACCTGATACCCTCAATCACAGACATGATTTAGATTTACAGTAAATGAACAGTGTTCTTACGGGGGGCATTTCTCCTGTTTTCTGCTACGTGCTGGTCCTTATGTGGGAAGCTAAATCTTTCATTCCTCTCTTTTTTGTCTCCAGTCTGCAGCTCAATCTGTCTCTCCTTACAGACTGCTGGAGGAAGGTGTCTCCTCAGATAAGGCTGGTCAATACGTCTTTAGAGGATGTGACTTTTTTCCTCATGTGTTTTCTACATCAGAGGGCCGGGGTCTTGATCAGTGCAGTAGCTGGGGGAGCTGACCACTATGACAGTAGGGATGAGAAGAATCAGAAAATCAAATATCTGGTGGGGAAAAATTGTAATAGCAGTGTCTAATAAATGAGTTCAGAATTTAATGTGTAAATGTAAATGCAATGTGACCAGCTTGGTTACATTTACAGTCTAATGTCACATACGCTTTAACTGCAATGCTCAGTTCCCACCTCTCTCATTAACCTTTGTGTGGTGTTGATGTGTTTGTTACTCAGTGGTCTGCTGGACCCACCACATTACTGTTTTATTAAATCAATACAGCCATAACAGTTTATGTAAAAATACCAGATGTTTAAAATATCACAAGTGTCCAGCGCAGGGTTCTCCTTTAGCAGCTGTAGCCAGTCAGCAGCCTGGCCATGTTGTCTACCATCTCATACACAGACTCACACACATATACACACACACACACACACACACACACACTAACGGCAGGCCATGTAGGAGGAGAACAGAGTGAAGGACACAGCACCTCCACACTTTTATTCCCTGTGGGTTCACCCAACACCACATGAACAGAGTGAAGACACTGAAAATGGGTTATTTTATGTGTTCTTCACAGAAAATGATCAAAGGACAAGAATCTGAGGCTGAAATAATAATAAATCACATAATTTTCTCTTTTGTAAAACACTGAAAATGGGTCCCACAGACCTGAACACCACACAAGGGTTAAGCACGTTTTAGGGGTCTGTAACTTTATTCAAAAGTAGACTATAAATGCTAAAAGCTGAAAAGTCTTTTATCACCAGTGAAGAACAGTATGAGAATGAATATAAAAGTAGGAGACAATTCACTGGTTGAAATATGAACAGGAAAGTTCTGGCAGTTGTATTGCAGGAAGCTCCACATAATAAAAAGAGGGAAAAAAATCTGTCTTAACATTGTCTCAGAGAAATAAAGCAGATCTCAATATTATATTAATGAAGGATCTTTGATTTCTGAACCATTTCTCCTAAACCCCCCTTAGGAGAAAACAGGAGATTACCATCAGCATCTCACTGTGTGAGAAGTTCTGGTGATGAAGGAGAAAAGTGTGATTTCTAGTTCTACACTGACAGACTGCTGAGAGAGTTCTGTGATCTAGAACAGAGCTGTATAAGAAAACGATGAGATCTCACACTTTTCTAATGGAGATATTATTCGGCTGAGACTGAGCTGAGACGAGTCAGACACTACAGAGTTAAGCCACATGTGTGACAATATTTTGGTCAAAGTGAGAAAATCTGAGTTTTATTTCTCAGGAGCCAAATTTCAGAAACAGGAGAAAATGGCTTCAGTCTCACTCTGATCTCAAACTGGACTTAACCACATCTAGGAGAAGAACCTGAGATCAAGACGAGATCTCATTTAGAATATTTCTTTCCTCTGGGCACTTTCCATGTTGGTAAGCAGGAAAAAGCCTCACTGAGCCAAACACCCTGCTGAGAAAAGCAACTTAGACCAGCATGCACTCCATGCTGGTTTATGCAGGACTAGTGCTGGTCTGGTGCTGGTTTAGCTGGTCACCCAACATGGTTTTCTTGGTTGACCAAAACACAACATATTGTTGCTCACTTTTTGACACCAACTGCCATTTACATTGTTTTAAAATCTTATGTTGAATAGATGAACAGAAATGGTCCAGAATTGCTTGCAATAAATAATTTCTCCATTAAACTTCATTTAATAAATAAGAAAGTTTTTTCCTTCTCCTGTAAACCAGCACATCCAGTAATGAAACACTGGCTTGTTGGTGTTATGCTTACACTTTTGCTCTGATAGGTACACTGTAAAAAAGTATTGTAATTTCTACTGTAATCTACTGTATTAAGCCAGTATCATACTTTAAAAGTGTTTAGAGTTTTATACAGCGTCCTGGTAAAACATTTACAGTCCAGACAGATTGTACTGTATTAAACACCTTATTGTTTGACTACTGTAATATTACTGTTATACACTCTGAAAAAGATGGTTCTTCAAGGGTTCTGTAGTAAAGAAAATGGTTCTATATAGAACCATGAGCGCTCAAAGAAACCTTTGCATGAATAAAAGGTTCTTTGCATGGTGAAATGGGTCTTTAGATTGATGGAGAATGTGCTGTAGATGGTTTTATATAGAAAAAAAAGTCGTAATATTTTGAGAAAAAAGTCGTAATATTTCGAGAAAAAATTCGTACTATTTTGAGAAAAAACTCGTAATATTTAGAGAAAAAATTGGACGGTATGATATTTCAAGAATAAAGTCGTAATATTTCGAGAATAAAGTCATAATAGTGAGACTTGTCCATTTTTGTGCCAAAGAAACCTTTGCATGAATAAAGCGTTCTTTGCATGTTGAAATGGGTCTTTAGATTGACGGAGAATGTGCTGTAGATGGTTTTATATAGAACTTTTTTGAAAATGGTTCTATATAACACCAAAAAGGGTTCTTCAATTGTAACAAGCTTGATGTCGTAACAATAGCAGAGCCCTAGTGCTATATAAGGGCATATGTGACAGGTGAACAAACATAAATAAATAAATATAAATTACATGTGAAGTAAAAATACTAACACTACAACAAACACACACTGTGTACTAAACCCAAAAGGATTTTTGTACAGTTCTGCTCTGAAAATGAAGGTTCTGACCAGCAGAGGTTGTAAAACACCTTAGATTGTTCCTCATCCACCTCAGAACCTGCTGTATGTTACGGCATGTATGATAACTGTTCCACCTTGGATCGCTCATGCTGCGCTGCTCCGGATTCCCTGGGGCTTTGTCATATCAAGCAAATGAACTTAAGACGGGCGTCAAGTTGTCTTATAGACACTTCACATAAGAAATGCCCTCATTTGTTTTCATTGCAGATGAAGAACTGCTCAATTCATAGCAGTGATTTCCCCATATCAGTTCAGTATATGTGCATGGAAAGGAGAAAATATCATCTCAACCAAAATGAAAAATAAGCAGTTTGATGGACCTGTTCATATGTTTGAGAGCCACACTGCAAAAGAGGTATCCTGTCAAGTGAAATCATCTTCAGTCTAGTCAATACATCTAATACTTTGTCATTTTGAGATTTCTTACAACATGCAAAATTATCTACCAACATAGTTAATCAATCTAAGACAATTTGACTCACTAAAATCACTTAAAACAAATTAAAAAAATGTCAAGTTCAATTCAATTTTCAAATAAAATAAGTTCAATTATCTTATAATAACCCTACTACAATTTCAGCATGAGACATACACAGATCAGGCATAACATTATGACCACCTCCTTGTTTCTACACTCATCGTCCATTTTATCAGCTCCACTTACTATATAGGTGCACTTTGTGGTTCTACAGTTACAGACTGTAGTCCATCTGTTTCTCTGCATACTTTGTTAGCCCCCTTTTACCCTGTTCTTCAGTGGTCAGGACCCCCATGGACCCTCACAGAGCAGGTACTACTTGGGTGGTGGATCATTCTCAGCACTGCAGTAACACTGATGTGGTGCTGGTGTGTTAGTGTGTGTTGCGCTGGTCTGAGTGTATCAGACACAGCAGTGCTGCTGGAGTTTTTAAACACTGTGTCCACTCACTGTCCACTCTATTAGACACTCCGTCCACCTTGTAGATGTAAAGTCAGAGACGATAGCTCATCTGCTGCTGCACAGTTTGTGTTGGTCATCCTCTAGTCCTTCATCAGTGGTCACAGGACGCTGTTGGCTGGATATTTTTGGTTGGTGGACTATTCTCAGTCCAGCAGAGACACTGAGGTGTTTAAAAACTCCAGCAGCACTGCTGTGTCTGATCCACTCAGACCAGCGCACCACACACTAACACACCACCACCACGTCAGTGTTACTGCAGTGCTGAGAATGATCCACCACCCAAATAGTACCTGCTCTGTGAGGGTCCATGGGGGTCCTGACCACTGAAGAACAGGGTAAAAGGGGGCTAACAAAGTATGCAGAGAAACAGATGGACTACAGTCTGTAACTGTAGAACTACAAAGTGCACCTATATAGTAAGTGGAGCTGATAAAGTGGACAATGAGCATAGAAACAAGGAGGAGGTCATAATGTTATGCCTGACCGGTGTATTAGCTATTTTAACTGTATTTATGATCATTTTACTTGACAAGATTACATTTTTTGTAGTGCAGAGTCATCATGCTTCCACATCAAGCACATGGAGTGTGTACAGGCCCCTGTTTCG